TAAGAAGGATAAGACATCCATTTGAAAAGACCTCCTGTAAGTCGAACTGAAATCTGCTAAAACTGAATAAGAGCAAGCATGAGATTTTCAATGACGCTTGGATGGAAGAACGGTGAGATCATTGACACTCTATGAGACATTTATGGGGCAATGCTTCAACGAACTCAACAGTTAACGAACAGATAGCTCATTTTAGGAAGGGATCAGATGATGCTGAAAAGGAAGTCCACACCAGCAAACCCTCCACCTCAATTTCCAAGGACACAATTCATCTTGTCCGTGCCCCATACAAGAGGACCAATGATTAGCAGCAGAAACAACAAGCATCTCAATGGGTTCAGCTTATACCACTCTGACCAAAAAATTAGAGTTGAGCAAAACTTTTGCCTAATGGGTACAAAATCGGTTGCACCCAGATCAGCTGCAGACAAGAACAGGGCTTTCAATGAAAATTGTAAACATATGGGATCAAGATCCTGAAGTATTTCTTAGAAGAATTGCAACAGGAGATAAAACAATATTTTACCAGTAGCATCCAGAAGACAAAGCACAATCAAAGCAGGGTCGTCCAGAGGGGAAAATGGCCCAGTCAGAGCAAAAGCAGACCTGCCAAGAGCAAAACTCACGGCAATAGTTCTTGTGGATGGCTCAAAAGGCATTTTGCTTGTTGACTTTCTTGAGGGCCAAAGAACAATAACATTTGCTTATTATGAGAATTTTTTTGACTACATGACCCAAAACAAGCAGAAAAATGTCCAAGAAAGTGTCACCAGAGAGTTCTCCATCCTGGGAATCCTCCCGTTCATTCCTCTCATCAAACAAAGGCAACTTTCCAAGAGTTTTAATGGGGTGTCAGTAGGCATCCATCCTACTCACAGTGCTGATTTAGCTCCTTCTGACTTGGTTTTGTCTCCCAATCTTACAAAATCATCTATAAGGGCACTCCTTTTCCTTCAGTTAATTATGTACAAAAGACTGCACTGGCCTGGCTAAATTCCCAGGACCCTTGGCTCTTTAGGACGGACTAAATATCTAATATCATCGCTTACAAAAGTATCTTAACCTTGATGAAGCTTATGTTGAAAAATTATATATATAAAATCTTTTAATTCCATTTTTCCCACGAAGTCTTTGAAGTCCCCTTAAATATGTACCATTATGAAGGCCTGGAGACACAAGAGGAAGAAAACACAAATTTTGAGAGCCTGTTCTTGGCTTTGAAGGTCACAATTCAGAGGTTGTTTGTATTCACCTGACTAAAAGAAACGAAGAAAACCAGACTCCCAGTGCCCCAAGAGGACAGAGGTGAACTGCCCCACGGCGTATCCAAGGCTGTACTCTTTCTGGAAGTGGATTGCCCTGTCTTTCTCCCTCAGGCACCTTGTGGTTAGCGGTCAAGCACTTCAGCCACGGCATCACGAGGCCTGCAACGTGACCGCACTAGATCCCAGATGCTGAGCCGCACACCTGCAAACTGAAACTTCAGTTGACTATATTTCTTGTAAATGCCTCGCCCCCAAATCCACCCTCCCAGTATCGCCACTCTCAGCACTGGTCCTAAAGGGATCATCTGTCCTGGATTCCCTGTGTTTCCAGTTCCTATCTGGTCTAGCCAGATTTGTAAGGTAGAATTGGGATCATGATAGTGTGAGGGGAGGAAGCATTTATGAACTAGAGGAAAGTTGTATGTTTCATCATTGCTACACTGTACCCTGACTGGCTCTCTTCCCCACAACCCTAATGTAAGGGGGTGTCCAGTTGCCCACAGATGGGTCTTGGGTCTCCAATATGCACTCCCCTTCAGTCACAATGATAAGATTTTTTGTTCTTTGATGCCTGATACCTGATCCCTTCAACACCTCATGATCACACAGGCTGGTGTGCTTCTTTCATGCAGACTTTGTTGCTTCTGAGCTAGATGGCCGCTTGTTTACCTTCAAACCTTTACGACCCCAGACGCTATATCTTTGGATAGCTGGGCACCATCAGCTTTGTTCACCACATTTGCTTATGTACCCATTTGTCTTCAGCGATCGTATTGGGAAGGTGAGCACACAATGATATGATTTTTTGTTCTTTGATGCCTGATAACTGATCCAATTTTCATTTTCAATTTTACGTCAGAGCCACATGTATGTCCTGAAAGAGGGGCACTGGGCTCTCGAGCCGCAGTTTACCAACCCGTGGTCTAGTTTACCAAGTAAAAGATGTCTGCCTTCAGCATTATGTTCTTTTCAGAACTCCCAAAGGGGATTAAATTGACAACGATACTTCAAAGATGAGATCAGAACCTTAGGGCGCAGCGAGATCATGTTAATGGTTTATTACTTGAAGAATGCCATCAATGCCGCTGAATTGTTCAAGTAGAAATGGTTAGATTGGCATAGATCTTGTTGTGCGCATTCTCAACAATAACAAAGTAAAAATGTTAAAGAAAAATAATCTGTACCGAAAGAATGAAGGAGGCCAAAGAAACTCTGCGGAGTCTGATTTTATAAGTGATACTCACTCAAAATCAGCTCCTGGCTTTAAAATTATACCTCTCACCTGCGTCGGTTTCCTTGCAGCAGTCAATTAGGATGGCAAGGAGAGCAAGGAGACTTGGATCCACCCCTCTCCCTAAACCTGTTTTTCTTCATTAAAGACCTTCTCTTTTGCTATACAGTACAGTGTTTTTCCTCCTGGTTTTCTCCTAAGCATAAAGGAGCACTGATTCCTCGCCCTCCCTGGCTGGGAGGCTGGGAGGCACGTGAGCTGCCGGGGTGGAAGTGACCTTGCCGCCTGCAACTTCGACTAGGAACCTACTCCAAGGGTCTCGAGTCTGGGAGGTTTGGCTTCCTGGTATGTGCACCGGAGCCAGTCAGCCTCCAGTACAGGGTTCCTTTGTGTTTGCCAGGATTAAATCTGTGCGAATCAGAGTACCTGTCTCCTCTCAGGGCTGCTGATAGGATCACTGGTGGTCCTTTCCCAGCATGCTGCTTGTTCTTGAAAGCAAGCACGAGCCCATCTCGTGACATTCAAGGAGACAAGGGGGGCAACCACCATCACAAAACGAAGAGACGGTGTTAGTCTGGGTTAGCTGGAGAAACAAATCCAGAGACGTTCATATATATGTAAGAGAGAGCTTTATATAAAAGAGAAATTGTATATTAAGAAACAACGCAGCCCAGTCTAGATCAAATCCTTAAGTCTGATATAAGCCCCTATGTCCGATACCAATCTACAAATTCCTCTTCAGACTCACACAGCATATGTAATGATGCTGAATGCAGGAAGATTACAGGCCAGTGGGTGGAAAGTCTTGTGGATCCAGTGGTGGTGGAAGCATCTCAGTGCTGGCGTGGGTCTCCATGTGGCGTCTCCAGCGCCAAGGTTCTGGCTGCATCAATGTAGCTCCATCTGGCTTGTCAACCAGAATGTCCCGCAGGGAGAGTCTCTCTGTGTCCCACCTCTGTGGGATAGTAGTTGACTGTTTCCTTGTAGTAGACCCCAGAGAGGTCAAGCCCACCCAAGGGTGACCAAGGTTAGGTCACCATACTGAATCTAGGGTCTGCCCATCTTGTCACATGTATACCCCTAGTCCCTCCCCTTCCTATGTGTACACTCCTAGCTCATCCTCTTCCTCTTACATCTATGCCATTGTATATCCCCCTCCTATTGTTTGTATGCCTATTGTACTGCCCCTTCCTGTGATGTGTGGTTGCCTGTAATCATGCCCCCATAAGTAGATATAACCTTTGGTTAGCAATGGGGTCTCCAGCCGGCCGGCCGGCTGTCTCCACCCCACCTCACCTCGGCCCACGCTGTGTGTGTACCTGGCTGGTAAGATCATAGCCATCCAGGAGGTGAGCATGCTACCATAAATTGTGTCTGACTTCTGTATTTCAATCTCTTTTATCTCTCATGCTCTCAATGACTTAATTATAATCTTTATATATCTCAACCGTACAATTGCACCTATCGAACCTGCGATTGGTTGTAGGAGGCTGGCCTTTCCCCCACAAGCCTCCAGTGAGCTATTTTATATCCCTAGCACCTTCAAATTAGGTCATCAAGCTGCGACTCGATTGACAGGCTAAACTCCACCCCTTCACTCTTAATAATCTCAAGTTGACAACAGATTATGTAACTACCACTCCATATTTGGAGACATATTCAGTGATCCTATCATGTCCCAGTCGGAGGTCAGCCAATCTCCAGATCGGAGGTCAGCCTCAGAGGAAGTGGGGTGGCCTCCTTCTCAGGGTGGTCCTGCGCAACAACAAGCCAATGTGTATGTCCACCCTACCAGTGGGGATTATTCTTTGGGTAAAACTATTCTCTCCAAGGTAGTGAAGTGGATAAGAACTTGGATTCTGGAGACAGGTTTTCAGATCTCAGCACTACCATGGCCCGCTATGTGATCTCAGCCTAATCACTGGGCCTCATTCATACCACAAAGGGCAGGAAGTCCCCAACTAAAGGAGGGCAGACAAAGGTTACCTTGGGTAAAGAGGAGAGCACTATCCAACAGAGGAAGGTTGGCCAACAATAATGGGGGCAGGGGAACACAGTGGGAGGTTTGCAAGGGTAAAAGGCATCAGAGGGAAATATTGTCATAGACACAAACCTGCAGTGACTGTGATCTACAAGTATATACTTTGTATGAGTCAGAACGGACCCGACAGCCCTCAACAACAAGAAGTAGTAGATGCTTCGATGGACATGCAGGCTGAACCAGTGTGGGAGAGAGCACGGGAGTATACCCAAAAATGGATAGACAGAGAGATAGATGGAGTGATAGAGAGAGAGAAAAATTTGGCAGAGGATATTTGTATATGTGTCTTTATCTTCAGTGCAAATATACCATGAATTTAGTGGAGCACACAGGAGGCAAACTTATGAAAACTTCTTTGACATAAGCAGACACCATGAGGGTCGAGAGGATCAGGATCATAATCTCGGAGAGAATGGAGGGAAACCACGGCCAACTGGCATAATTGGCATAGTTCATAAAGACAATGGTCTACATCCTGCTTTGGTGAGTAGCTACTGGGGTCTTAACACTCTGGAGCAGTCATGTAAGGGGCAACCATTGGTCTCTCCACATCTGGAGGAAAGAAGAGTGGTGGAAGTCCACGATGCCCAGTAACAGTGAGCTAACAGACCATGCGAACATCAGTCTCCACACCACGAAACTAGAACTAGATGGTGCCTGGCTGTCACCATCAGCTGCTCTGAAAAGAATCACATTAGAAGATCCTGGATAGAATGGGAGACATATGGAATAGAACTCAAAATTAGAGAAGACTCACTGGTTGGACAGAGACTAATGGAATCTCTAAGTGTATGGCCTTAGTCCCCCTTCAGGTCTGGAACTGAACTCATCCTAGAATAACCAAACATTAACACTGAAAGGGTAGCATTTACCCAAGAGGTGTGGCAGTTATATAACCTCCTGTCAACTTGTGAAGGGGTGGAGTCTAGACTGTCAATCAGGTGACAGCCAATGAGGCCTCCATGTAGGCATGGCCTTCTCCTGAGGATCCTGGGAACTCCTGTATTCCTCCTTGGAGGATGGAGACTCACTCTGCTTCATCTCCCTGCTGACAAGCCACATGGAGCTACACTGATGGAGCCAGAGCCCTAGAACTGGAGGAGCCACGTGGAGACTCACACCAGCGCTGAAATGCTTCCACTGCCACTGGATCCACAATACTTTCCACCCACTGGCCTGTGATCTTTCTTCCTGTGTCATTGTATGTGCTGCGTGAGTCTGAAGAAGAATTTATAGACTGGTAATGGATATATGGACTAATGTCGGGTTTATGGACTTGACCTGGACTGGGCTGGGATGTTTTCCTAATGTACAATTGCTCTTTAATATAAAGTTCTTTCTTACACACATGAGTGTCTATGAATGTGTTTCTCCTGGACTAACACAGAGGGGTCAAAGGAAGAATGGAAACAAGAAACACAGGGAGGAAGTGGGATAAGCAATGGTTCATTGAGGGGGTTGAGATGGGTGAGTTGAAATAAGATGTGTACAAACTGACAAAAGGAAAATAATGCAGTGCTCTGTAAACCTTCTCCCAATGCAAATAAAAAAATTGGAAATAGAAGGTAGGAAATGAGTAACTTTAAAAATAAAACCATGAGAATAAGCTGAGCTCTGGAACAAAGGACGAGGCATCCATCGGATGGAAGACCCCTGGAAACTAGGCTGTTTGGTGAGGGTGACCCTTAGAGGGTCCCTGGACCAAACAGCCTCCTTCAGCCTGGTCTGCTGTCCGTGTTGATTCTCAGTCTTTGAGCCAGCACAGGAGACAAATGGATGCTTCTAATGGGTGCCGGGGGAAGCCTTTAATGCTACAAAACAAGTTTAATTACACCACTCTAACGGGAGCCCTGGGGAAAGGGTTGCACTCAGGCAGGGCTGGGCAGAGTCCAGGAGGTTGGCTGCTGCCACTTAGTGCGGGCAGCACAGTTCTGTTCTTGAAGGTGTGCAATTAGGTTCCTCTACTTCATAGTCATGGCTGACAATAATCTGGCCGCTGAGGGTGCACAGGACGCACACAGCACTTTGCCGTGGGAAGCAAATGCGCTACCTCCATGATACAGAGGTCCAAGTGTGGTCTGGGGAGCTCGGGCCAGATGCGGTGAGAGGAGGCAGAGAGGGAGCCTGGGAGACAGGGATAGGTAGATTTGAAAAGGCCCAGGGGCCATTGTAATTTCATCTCCTTCTTGAGTCCTAATTCTTTTGCTCCATATCTCTCCTCTCCACTCTTCCTGGCAGGCAGCTCCACTCTTATCTAACATATTCAAGAGGTAGAACACTTGTTTCGTCTAGCCCCAGAAAGCACCCTGCCACAAGTGTTATCACATGGCGGTTTAAATGTACTAATCCCAGTCACTGAGGCTTCCTGGCAGGGCCGTGAAGTGACAAGGTCAAGGGTACTTGTGAGGAAAAGGGAAGGAGGGAGGGAAATGAAACTGGGACACACGGAAGGGGCCAGGATGATGGGAACGAGAGACCTTGAAGGTGAGGAAGTGAGAAGGATCCAATAGGACGTCAAAGTCAGAGCTGGGAAATGGAAACAGGAGACGTGTCGTTCCGAGAGAACTGAAAGTTCCGGGCGGTGTGGTGGGGGAAATGCCGAGTCTACCTGGAGAAAGGAGGAGCAGGGAGTAGGAAATGAGGTTGGGGGCTCTGAGAGAAAGGCCAGAATTAGAGGGGTGGTAAAAGCTCACGGCCATCGAGCCCGTGCCAACTCTAGCCACTCTGTAGGTCAGGGTAGAAGTGTCTGTGTTTCTGAAACTGCAGCTCTACTCTCCGAAACTGAGAGTAGAGAGCCCTGCCTTTCTCCCGTGGCGCAGACAGTGGTTTCAAACTAGTGTCCTTGTGGTTCCCAGCCCAACTGATAACCTCTACGCCACCAGGGCTCCGGTAAAAGGGTGAAAGAGGGAGTCACGTGCCTAGATTGATAGAAGCCTGCCTGAGTTTGAAGACAGACAGACTGCCAAAGGATGAAATGGGGCAAAAAGTGGGTAGCAGATATTTTCTTTAGGGAAATGCCTATCTTTGTTTAGTTTTGTATGAGACACAGTATGAGGGAATGCGCCAAGAGGAAGAGCCAGTAAGGTCAGGTGACTCTGTCTGTGGCTTCAAGTCTCTGCAAAATGAGGGACTTGATCAAATGTCCTGGATCCTGGATCAAATGTCCCAAAGAGATGAGACAGGGATTGGAACCATAGAACAGTCAAAAAAACAAAAAAACCTTCACTGCCATTGAGTTGATTCTGACTCATAGTGACCCTACAGGACGAAGTAAAACTGCCCCATGGGTTTCCTAGACTTTAAGTCTTTACAGGAGCAAACAACCTCATCGTTGTCCCGAAAAGCAGCTGGTGGGATTGAAGATCTTACCATTAGTAGCATAAAATGCGTTCATCACACCACCAGGCTCCAGAGAACAGCCCAATAGCTACAAATCTTGTCAAAGGTCAGAATAGCTGCATAAACCACTTTTTCCATTTTAATACCTTGTGGTACTATTTGCACTGTTCCACCCTGCCCGCCACGCACATACACACCCCCCAAGGCCAAAAAGTAACAGTTTAACAAAAAGTAACCGTTTAGGGGTTTTGGATCTCTTTTTATTTTGCAATACTAAGACAGAAAATCCTCGGTGACACCAAGTAACTAAACGAATCGTTGTTTTAACAGGGAACACTTTGTCTTACAAAAGAAAACTGTTGCTGAAAGGAGCTGCGTGCTTGACCAGGTCTTCTGAGCGCCAGCAAAGGAGGCCCCTTCCAGGAGCTGATGATATTCCTGGTTCTGGCCCACGGGGCACTACGCACTCTAGTTTCCTCCTCCAGAATATCTGCAGACACACACCCTGTGGCCTTGCTTCCCACACACTGCCAAACGGCTGAGTGGGTTCACACCACTGTGTCACCAAGGATCCTTCAAGGGCAGACATAACAGATGTCCCTCACATGGTGTGGGGGGGGAACAAGTAGGGTTCTGCCACTTTCTGCCACTTATTTTTCAGGCTCTGCATTTCGATGGAGCATTCCTGGGGAACGGTTAGGATTTCAAGCAAGTTCCCCAAGGCCCAAGTAGATTTGAAGTCGAACGTGGGTAAGATGCTTTCTCTAGCCATGGCGCATGGTGACTCAGAAGGACATTTTTATCTCAACAGAGCTTTGATCTCGATTGATTGCAATGACTTGGCTAACATGACATTCCTGTGAGACAACGCACCTTTCTACAGGAAACCTACTTGACAGCTGTTCTGCAGTCATTACAAACTATAAAAACTGTGAATCTTCATGGGTGCAAATGCTGTTGTCCTTGTTGTTGGTAGGTGCCATGGAATCAGTTCTGACCCATCGTGACCCTAAGCAAACAGAACTAAACACTGCATGGTCCTGCGCCATTTTGTAGCTATTCCCTGGCCTGAGCCCATTGTTGCAGCCATGCCATCCGTCAATCTCTCTGAGGACCTTCCTCTTTTTCGCTGCCCCTCCATTTTACCAAGCATGGTGTCCTTCCCCAGTGACTGGTCTCTCCTGACAATATGTCCAAAGTATTGAAGTCTTCCCATGCTTGCCTCTCAGGAGCACCCCGGCCGTACTTCTTCCAGCACAGATGGCCTGTCCTTTTAGCAGTCCATGGTACTTTCTCCAGCATCACAACTCAGATGCATCGATTTTCCATGGGTCTTCTTTATTCAACGTCCAACATTCCTATGCAACAGGTGCAAATCCCCTCCTCTTTGTGCCATGAAAGAGCCCGGGTGGTGTAGTGGATTCCACATCGGGCTACTAACCACAAGGTAAGCAGTTCAAAGCAACCAAGTGCTCTGAGGGAGAAAGATGAGGTTTTCTGCACCCATAAAAAGTTGGTCTTGGAAAACCACATGAGCGATTCTACCCTGTCCTACAGGGTCACTATCAGTCGCAACCGACTAGATAACAGTGAGTTTGGTTTGGGGGGTTTTCTCCCATGGAAGGGGTAGTGGCTTTGACCCTGGACTTTTCAGTTAGCACTCCAACGCTTATCTGACTGAGCCACCAAGGCTATGGAAAATATGGTTACAAAAAAAATTACCACCTGTTACTGCAACACATTTCCAAACAAATCTCAAAATATAGTTTTGCCAAAAATTTCATGTGTGAAATTTACTTTCAAGCCAAAAAATGAAATGTCTAGATAATTCAATGGTTTATGAAGTTCATAGGATAATACTCAAAATTAAGCCTGGCCTGGGATAGAAGGGATGCATGGTTAATATACCACACCTGGTGGCCTAGTGGTTACATGTTGGGCTGCTAACAGGAAGGTAAGCCGTTCAAAACCACCAGCCACTCCGAGAGAGAAAGATGAGGCCTCCTACTCCCATAAAGACTTACAGTCTCAGAAACCCATTGGGTCTTTTTAATGGTTAATAAACACACTGTGTTGTTTTGATGACATAAATAAAGCTACGTAGTTACTATATTAATCTTGAATTACAGCGAGTACCCCGAGTTCTGACTCATGCTTCCAAAACTTGGAAACAAAAGTATCGTGGAAGGCTGCAGCTAAAGAACAGGCGGCCTGCCGCCCCGCCCCGCCCCGCCTCCCCAGTGTTCAGGGCTGGGGAGGCTGAGCTGAGCACATTAATCCGAACCAGCTCATCTAGAGACTCATTGCGTGGTGGACCTGCAGTTCATCTCCTGTAGGAAACTCCATCTGCTGGTCTTTCAGGAACCACAGCTAGCTAATTTTACGGATAATGTGGTTTTCTGGCAGAGTTTGTAATTTTCCAATGCCTAGCTCCCTGGCAGAGTTAGCATTTGATGAAGGGTGTGGAATCAGGAGGGGAAATAGAATCCTCCGCTTCTTTTTGGTTTTGAACACTCAGCGAAAAGACGTTTGGAGGGAGGCAGAGCAGACAGTGCGTCCCCCAGGTTCTGAAGTACGAGGACCCTCGAGTAATGTACATGTTGTTTGTCGTCAGCTCTGTCAGTGAGCTACAGGGAAGGAAACAAAAATTAAGGCTGCATAATGTTCTGTACAAAGAGAAAAAGGAAAAAAATACAGCAGCCAGATGGCAAAGCTGTGGCCTTTTCGGGCTGCCTCTGGACTCGCTCAGGAATCGAGTAAGAACCAACATTGGCTCTATTTCTTCTTAACCTTTGCAGATCCACCCCACCCTGCTAGAAAGGTCCAGGGGAGGCCAGCGAGGCTGAACCCCACCCCTCCCCAGCACCCTGGGCCTCCTGGAGCCGCTTAGCCAAGGCCCCAGACCTAAAAGCCCGCAGGCAGGGGCTCGTGCCCAGCCCCTCCTCGGCCCCCAGTGGGGCAGGCCCGCCGGGAC